AGCTATTAGTTAAGTTCTCCCCAAGCGAGCTCGATGGGCCGAATGGCCTCCTCTCGTTTGTATAGTTCTTATGTTCTTATGTTCTTACTAAGTTAAATGTGCCCCCTTAAGTAAAGTGTTACCAGAAAATCATTGACAGATTAACTCACCGATGGCTAAAGTTTCCATGTTAGGCTGTTATTTAGCACTGCTAGTGCTATGCACATTAATGAGTAATAAACAAATGACAGGAGCCAACATGAAAAGACTGAGACTTACATGGAGCTACTGTATGTTCTGACAGATTAGTCATGCCTATTTATGAAATTATCCCCTGATGCTAAATCCTGTTTTTTTCCTCTTCCAATAGCTGAGCTGTTTTAAAATCTGTTTACATGAGTTGTACAAATAGTTATATATAAAGATAGCCAATCCTATCTCCTCCACTCCCCACTTGCCCTGCCCCCCCTCATTGACCTGCTTTTCTAATAAAAATACAGATTACATTGTCATCATTTAGATTAGTCAGGCAGTCTACACAGCATTTTCAGAATGAAAGAGGATGCATGGTAGATGGAGGTAGGAGGCAAACGCAGCAGGTATACGGGGTGAGGGGGCTTAACACAGGGGGCAGACAGTGAAGTGAGATTAGTAACAGAGGAAAACAACAGCAAGAGAAGGAACAATTTAATTTCCGCTTGGATTCATTTCTGGGTGTGTGATAATCTTGAAATCAATATCTTCATTTACTGATGTTCCTAATTTCTTGAGGCACCAATTATGGCCAATTGGGAGGTGCCTTAGTGCTGCATACTAATGAGGACGTAAACACAGGGTTTGATAATGACCTGTGGCTCAGCTCCATGCTGCACATTATTATCAACAGAGCTTGTCAGCAAATCCTCTCCAAAATTCATTTAATCATAAAAACAGTTACATCTCACAGATTATCCCCCCCCCCCGCACACACACACGTCTCTCTCTCTGTCTCTCTCTGTCTCTCTCTCTTTCTCTCTCCCTCCAGTATGACTGTTTGGCTGAAAAGGAGTGCGTGGGCCAATCACAGCTGGAATCCATTCAGACTGAGAGTGTCAATCGATGGATGTGCATGTTCTGTCTCACGGTGACCATGCAGACCATCTCAGAGCAGTGTGGTGTGTCTCTGTAAAAGGCCAGGCTGTGAGCATGGAACTCGTGATTAGCTGGGTTTTGTGCATCATGTGGCTCTGCAGGCTAAGCCACTGTACCTGTGATCAGAAAGTTTCTGCTTTGATGTCTGGCCTCAGCAGAACAGTCACATGTCTGTGGGCCCTAGAGCAAGGCCCTTAACCCCCAGCTCCCGGGGCCCAGCGTGCCGGCTGACCCACTATGACCCCCAAGCTTGCTCTCTTGTGTCTGTGTGTCTCAGGGAGAGCAAGATGGGGTAGGCAAAAAAGAGAATTTCCTTACTGGTACTAATAAAGTATCACTCTTCTATTCTATTTTTTGCATTCCTTATCACCCTCCATTTGTTTGTGTATATTATCTCAGCTGACTGGCATAAGTCAATAACTATAGCAACAGCCCCACCATGTCAAAAGAATGGAGTCTGATTTGAATAGCGTGTCTTTGTAGGCTATATACACTCATTCCTCTAGCTGCCTAGCAGATACTTGGGAAGCATAGTAAGCGCTGCAGGTAGGATCCACATACTGTATCTGGGTAATTACATGTGTCTTATTACTCAGCTGCCAGGCTCCTCATGTAGCACCAAGCTGTGAACAATTGATATCTGCTCCTCCAGCTCACACCTCCCGTTCCCATTAAGAATGAGACAATGTTGTGCAGGAGAGCTGAGCGCGAGCTGGAGGGTGACATCACCCTTGCACCTGGCAACCAGCAACTCGCGGCCCCCTGACTGATCAATGAAGAAGAAAATGAGCGAGCTGCAGAGGTGCCCTGGCCAATTAATCCCTCCATTTCAGACTCCATGGGTTACATATGACATTCATTCATTCATTTATTAACCTTTATTTCACCAGGCAAAGCATTAAGAAAAGTTTCTTATTTATGACCAGCAGATGGATATGCTTTCTGAAGCAACACAGGCTCAGTGCCTTGCTAAGATAACAATAACAGCTCACCCCCCCCCCCCCCCCCCCCCCACCACCACCACTGTGCTACTCAAAGTGATATTAGCCAAAGCTATTGTCCAATACTCTCTCCCCTGTGTAATAGCATGATGATTATGGGTGATATTGAAACTCAAATGCAGCTCATATACATTTGCGGTTCTGAAGCTTAGCAGTCTCTATAGAGTGTATGCATATGATGTCACAGCAGGCAGAAGTCACTGCGGTTATACCCACTGAGGGGCAAAAAGACTGAGTGGCAGCAATAGGGCGAAAACACATCTAAAATGGGAAAGAGCTGTTGTATGGTTGATTGAACAAACTTATTGAACAGGAAGTCACTGCTATTTTTTACAGACTGCTGAAAGGCAAATGGATCACTGTAATTCGCAGAAACAACTGGAATCTGAAACGTGGATTTGCAGTTGTCATTTTGCGTAAATTATGTGGGATTTTTTTGTAAAATCATACCTTAAATTATATACTGTATTGAATACTCATCAATAAAGTATTTAGCATCATTCATTTATTCTGTGTAGCTGAATCATGTGTAGCTAAATCATCATGCTGTAAAGTTTTTGCCAGCATTTGTTAAAATACATCCATGATGATGAGGCTTCTGTTCTACAAACAAAGTGGGGGGGGGGGTTAGATAGTGTGAGCCAGAGTCCTGCACCGGGTTGCAAGGTACCCGCATACAGTTGCTGAAACGAGCGGATTTTAATGTTCTGGAATTTTACGGGCGGGTAATTCATTACACACGGGCGGGTAGCAAGTCAATCAAAACAGTATTGTAGCCTGCAAAAATAACATAAGCGAAAATATCTATGTATTAGATTATCATGTACAAATTGTCATCATCACAGTGTGTTCAGTATGTCGGGTGTACCTTTAAGATAACCACCTCAACAAACATTCACATACAGTACACGTCTGAATCCTTGCTGAAGAGTGTTGTCGTGTTCTCTCTTTCACGCTCGTCACAGTATGGATAGCTTAGATCTATGTGATTTGATTTTGTGTTAAACGGACTTTTTCGTTTCAATCCAAAATTCAAGTAGGCCTAGCGCTTGTCACGTTGAGAGGTGCATAGAAAAAATAATTCTGTGTAATTTATCATGGGTACGGGCGGGTAACGGGCGGAATGTTAACGGGCCCGGGCGGGTGTGGTGCTGTACTGTGCGGGTGCGGGCGGGTGCAGGTCTCCAAAAGTGGACCCGTGCCGGACTCTGGTGTGAGCTAGCCAAGATAAATCCAGGTTTCCTTATAAGGAGCTACTCCAAAAAGCAAGTCTACACAGTTAGCCAGATATCTTTCTATAAAGTTTCTACAAAATACGTTGTCAGGAAACCCGATTTCTGGTCGCATATTAATGTCCATGGTTCATTGGTTCTTTGGGAAGTTGTATGGATTCCTGTCAAGTTCTGCCTTTAGTTTCGGGGGGTGTGTTCCGGCGGGAACAATGACGTCAGGAGAGTCTCTATATGGCACATCAGCAGCACAAGATATACATCAGTGAGGCTGTATAAGTGTATCCAAAGGCATACAGACATGTACCCAGCAGGAGCTGCAGCCCTCATGCTTGTGACTTTAATCACCATGCAGTCGTTGCCCTTCTACAAAAGATGGAGAGCGAACCCAGGAGCCCCGAGCATCCAGTGACCCACAGAACTGCATACGTCACACCATGTCAGCGCCAATCTGTGGAAAACCCCAGCAGCCTGAGAAGCAGCACACTCGGCACTGTGCACAGTTACCTGCACTTCGCGGGCATGGTAGGCGATGATGAGTCCCAGTAAGACCACTGTAGACAAGCTGATAAGACACTTCAGGGCCAGGGAGAACATGGAACTCTGTAGAGGAGCAAACACAGAGGTTGAAGTACCCCCCATTGATGTTAATACCCCCCACCCCCACATTAAAGTAACTCACATACACAAATGTGAAAGTACTCCACACACATTAAAGTACCCCCTACACATACACAAATGTTAAAGTACCCCTACACACATTAAAGTACCCCACACACATTAAAGTACCCCCCACACACATTAAAGTACCCCCTACACATACACAAATATTAAAGTACCCCTACACACATTAAAGTACCCCCCACACATTAAAGTACCCCACACACACATTAAAGAATCCCCTACACATACACAAATGTTAAAGTACCCCCCCACACACATTAAAGTACTCCACAATACCCACGCATGTCACCATCACAGGTCACAGGAAACCACATTAACACCATAACAAAGTTGCTGCCAATCAGAGGCACCTTAAACTTCTCCTCTCTGTTACACCCCGTTCTGCATCAGCAATTTCACACCTGTCGCATTATTCCTACATGGACATACATCATTACCCCTGAAACTGCTATGATACACATTCCCCACAGTCCTTAATTCCTGTGACCTTTCACTTACAAATCGTTCGGCACGCGCCTTGCATCACCCTGGCACTGTATGCGATCCGAGGTGCGTCCCTTGCTCGTCGAGTCGTGCGCAATCAAGCAAAGAAGAAACATGGTGGCTGGGAGAGGGCGCAGAGCGAAAGGAGGTCACCAGCCTCCCAGCCCTCACGGGGGAAGAGGCTGTGTCCTTAGCACAGGACATTGTGGCGTTCTGCTGGAGGCAGTGAGACCATTGCACAGGTGTGTCCTCTATTGCTGTGTTCATACTATTAACGTTGCAGCAGAAGCCTAGAGTGCCTCCCAGGACCTTCTGCTTGGTCATTAAATCTGTCATGCATCCCTAGTTACCCCCAGTCAGTGCTGGACTGCGGTGACCCGGGCAAAATGACACTCGCATCCATGTTTAACTTTGAGCCTAAACTTCACGACACACACAGTGTTCTTTTCCACAGATAAACACACATCCTGTTCAGGGCTTTTGCCGTCACAATGCTGCGTTCCAGTTTATTATTAGTTATTTTAGGGGAAAAATTTCAAATTAAAATCCCCATCCCAAATAAAATCAACAAACACTGACTTGTTCCTGTAGTTTCATGAAAATCACTATAGCTTTTCACATATTGAACTTAATTAATAACTTAATTATAGATAATAACTTTAGTGTAACACATCATCTGCTGCCAGCTTTTGTCCTGCAGTAAATGACAATGTAAAATTCCAGAGCCACTAAAGGTCCCGATAGTGAAGTGCCTTTACTGGGGTTCAACCTCAGCCATCATCAGCTTTTTTCGGGCTATGGGTGTCACCACAGCAGATACACACAAATACACACTACACCAGCGTTCGGAGCACAGCATGGTGGGTCAGTGCTAGTGATGGGAATCGAAAACCGGTTCTTCTTGAGAACCGGTTCTCACTGTTTCAATTCCTTGGAATTGTTTGCCATTTTTGCGAACGGTTCCCCTATCGATTCCAGTCGCCTCGAATGACGTCACCACGTCGCAAATGTTACTGGACATTCTTGTGTAATTGCCACAGAATAATTTATGTTATACTTTGTTATTGCTACAGAGGAATATTTATTTTATTATTATTTTACATTTACAATTTTTTTTTCTGGGGACCCCGTGGCACCCCATCGAGGAGCCGTAGGCTGTGGATCTCACTGTTGGGTTTGTAAGGTCATGCTACTCCTAAATTTCTATCTTGTTCAAAGATAAGATATAAAACAAAGTTCTAAGCTAATCGACCTGTGTGTTCTCCTTTTTTAAAAATAAGAATCGATAGGAGAATCGATAAGGAATCGAATTGTTAAACAGAATCGAAAATGGAATCGGAATCGTGAAAATCTTTTCAATTCCCATCCCTAGTCAGTGCAGAGTGTTTCAGAACATATGCTGTCTTGGTTTACAGTGATCTAAGGTCTCTAATTATGACTGTTGTGGTTGCACCATCTTTTCATTAAATTTAATGTATTTTAATAGTTTTTTTTCTAAATGCAAGCACATTGTCTATTATAATAAAATGCATTTACTCTGCAGAGCAACCACCCCCCCCCCTCCTGGGCCATTAGCATCTAATGGATGAAGCCCAAGATAGTGAATTAATCTTTAGTCAATTATCAGGTGTCTGAGAAAATGTTGCTTTAGAAGGTCCTGTGCCAGTGTAAGTATCCCAGACACATTGTGTTCTTGGTTAAATTAGAACTTCATAACAACCTGACGGAACAGCCGGCAGTGCTAGCGGACCTTTGGACAGAGCAATTACTTCAATACGAGTGCTGCCCTGAGCCTGCCATACTTGTGGGATCATCCCTCACTCTCCGCACAGACTCACTCACACCCGTATGCTCAATTACACACTGCCATGAGCCATTACGTTCTGACACGTTTTGATGGGCGGGGGGGTCTACTCCCTGTGGAACACAAACAAGCACACAGGGTTAGTCACATGTAAAGGTGAAGGTGCAATCACACAGGTTCACATCCGTATCCATAGGCAAGGGGCACCTGAACCATAGACTCCCAAGCAGAGCGTGCAGGTGAGAGCTGTGGGCTGTGTTTGCTCCACTACAAAAGTGTGTGGTTATAATAACAGGACACTGCACCAAGAAAATGAGTTCAGGGTACGCAGACAGCTGCCTGTTCCTTCATTTAAACGCACACACACTGGTAGACAATCAGCACACACATACTGTAGATGCATATCAGACATGCAAACACCCACAGCAGCGAGACAATTAACCAAGATGTGTCAGGGATTAATGGTTAAACTTTGGGCTCATTTGCATAAGAAACAATAAAAGCTATATTACTATATAAAAAGCTCAGCCGGTACTGTGGAATCACTGATCATATACTAAAATAGCTCTCAAAATTTGCAGCAATTTTTGGGATTTCTTTATTTTGCTGTTAGGTTGTAATACAAAATAACTTGAAATCACCCCACTGCTATTCAGCAAACATACAAATTGATGTTCTGTATAGTTCTTTTCACTTCTTCCTTTTCTGATTCCTGATTGTGTGTGTTAGAGACAAAAAGGTAAATGATTACAATGGTGTGAATGCAGTAATGAACTGTGGCTGTGATCATACAGGTACCTACAGTACACACCTTAACTCTCCAGTGCCTCTGTTCAGTGTGCAAACCCCCTTGTGTCTCCAAATCCTTAAGACTCAAATGTCCCTCACACTTCACTTTCCCACCAAAGGAAATCTTATTTCAGCTCCTTCTCCAAAGTCATCAGATTGTCATTCTTTACCTGCCTCAAACATGCCCTCTGTGCTCTGCCCATAGCATGTTTCTCATAACAGAAAGAGCTAAATCCAGTGTGGACCTTTCAGATAAGGTCATATTTTTTAACACACAAATATTTCATTTTGTGCACAGTCTGCGAACTCCTGGAACCTCTACAGTCAACAAGTCTGTGGACGACACTTTTAACACGAGTCTCCACTTTATTTACCAACATTTGGACACTTTCTTCACACAATAAAGCCAGAGCCGTTAGAAAACAATCTAGCCTCACTAAATCTGCTGTTCTCCATCTGCCTCTGGGTCACTGACTTCTTGAAGTTGGTAGCCGTATGTGTGACTGGGTGGTCACATGACCAACCCCTGATTATATGTACTGAAACTTAACAGGGCTGTGTTCTGTCTCCCAAGTTTTTATGCTCCATACAAGTGACTACATTTCTAACCCATCAGTGAAACTCATTAAGTTTGCCAATGACACCATACTGACTCGCCAGATTTATGACAACAACAAGACTTTGGGAAGTGAGGCAAATGTTAAACTAAAATAACCTGGTCCTCAAGACCAAAAAAATACAAGACATGATCATCAACCTTAGGGATCATCGACCTCACTGGACATTGATGGCTGTATTTTTGCTCGGTTGAGTCATTCAGGTACTGGGCACTTTCTGATCTATGGATCTGAATTGGAAGGTCAGCAGCATTTCCACTGTCATGAGAGCTCCACAGCGGCTCCCTCACCTATGGTGGCTAAGAAGTTCAAGCTTCTTACACGGTTAACTCTGGTGTAAATCAACACTGCCATCATTCAGTCCATCCTAACCTCATCCATAATGGTGTGAAAACTTAAAGGTGAGACCATATTAAAGGGGGAAAGAGGAAAACATATGAAAGGGGGAAGGAGGAAAATGTATAAAAGTGGGAAAGAGGAAAGTGTATGAAAGGGGAAAGTGTGTGAAAGGGGGAAAGAGAAAAGTATATCAAAGGGGGAAAGAGGGAAGCGTTATCAAAGGGGGAATGAGGAAAGTGTATGAAAGGGGGAAAGACGAAAGCGTATTAAAGGGGGAAAGAGGAAAGTGTATGAAAGGGGGAAAGACGAAAGCGTATTAAAGGGGGAAAGAGGAAAGCGTATGAAAGGGGGAAAGAGGAAAGCGTATGAAAGGGGGAAAGAGGAAAGCGTATGAAAGGGGGAAAGAGGAAAGTGTATGAAAGGGGGAAAGAGGAAAGCGTATGAAAGGGGGAAAGAGGAAAGTGTATGAAAGGGGGAAAGAGGTAAGAGTATGAAAGGGGGAAAGAGGAAAGTGTATGAAAGGGGGAAAGAAGAAAGTATATTAACGGGGAAAGAAGGAAGCATTATCAAAGGGGGAAAGAGGAAAGTGTATGAAAGGGGGGAAGAGGAAAGCATATCAAAGGGGGAAACAGGAAACCAAATGAAAGGGGGAAAGAGGAAAGTGTATGAAAGGGCAAAAGAGGAAAGCGTATGAAAGGGGGGAAGAAGAAAGCATATCAAAGGGGGGAAGAGTATTGTCAGATCAGCAGAGAAGATCTTGGGCTGCAGTCTTACACCTATACAGGACTTGTGAGCGGTACTATAATCATTCGGGGCTCATCAGCAAGCCCTCTCATCCTGGTCATCACCTTTTCTGTAGTGGTCCAAGTGGAAAGTGCTTTCAAGCAAAGAAAAAAAACAGAACTACTGGAGAGTAAAACCATTTCCGCCCAAAAGCTGTAGTACCCATGAACTGGTGATCTCCTCAACCTACATCATAATTGCACTCTTTGCTCTTTTTGCACATCAGGTTTTGTTTAAAAAAAGTTGGTGACCCCAGCTCTAGATAGTATATTTATTTAGATTCTGTTCTTCTGTATGTATGTATATAACTTTCTGCTTATATACATATGTAGAATGCATATTGTTGGAAGTTTTTCTATGTACAACTTGTATTTATTTAATGTACTGATAGGAACTCATGACCTAAGACTTTCACTCGTTCTAGTGATGTGATATATTTGTTGTCTTTACTGTATTTTTGTCTCTATAGCTGTATCTGTCTGTCCTCACGTCGGTACCTTACGTACCAAGTAAAATTCCCTGTGCATGTTTGTGCTTAGCAAATAACCCTTAATTCTGATTCTGAACTGGCATGATATTACCCATCATTTCAATCAGGAGACCTGTTTCTGGGCATTTATGGGTTATCAAAGTCCCTGTTAGCTTCCCACCTTCAATTCGCTCACCTTGCTGTAGACTCCCCATGAAAGCTCCGTCTCGATGACCATGACCACGATGCCAAACATCCCAAAGATAAGTGCATAGTCACTGAGACGCTTCCTCTTCTCAAACAGCGCCCTCCGGTGGCCCAACTTGTACCCTATGTTCTGGTGCTTTCGTTTTTGTACCTTGCGAGCAGTACTACTGCGTTTACTTCCCCCACCCCCCACACTGCTACCCCGACTGGCCACGCCACCTGTGTTCCTGAGTGTCCCCTGGCTGTGAGACAAGGTGTGGTTGGAGGCAATGGTACAGTGAGATGAGTCCACTTTAGAGGAGATGACAATCTCTGGGGGGTTGTGTTGCTGGCCCTGTGACTGGAGCACGGTTCCCCGGTCCCGTGTGGCCACACCTCCCTCTCTAGCCTCCACTCCGCCCTCGGACTCAATGAGATTCCTGCGGGAGGCACTGAGCCGGCTCAGGGGCTTCATCACACCCCCACTGTATTTGCAGGAGCTCATGGCAATCTCAGTGAAGGGGTTGCTGTCCCGCCGATGCACCAGGGGGCTGGCCTGTCGGTGTCGTGGCCCCCGGTCACGCTCGCGCTCGGAGCAGGGGGAGTGAGGGGAGGGGAGGAGCCCCCCCGGTGTAGGCAGTCCCTCACCCAGGCTGGGCTGGCTGCCCACTGGTGAACTGGAGGGACACAGAGTGTTGGGGAGTGGGAGGGGCAGGGAGAGTGGCCCAGGGCTGGTCAGGATGGGGGTCCCGTTAAGCCTCTCCGCGCTGGCACTGCCCAGGCATTTGGAAGGGTGGGCCCCTGGGCGGCTGTCTGTAGCGGGCAGGGCCACGTTTGGGGGGCCCGGGGGATGCAGACCCTCTTCCTCACAGCTGCCTGCCAGAAGAGCCAAGGTGAGAGCGGGCGGGGGCTCCATTGTGAGACGGCAGGCTCCAGCTCGTCGTGTTGGGGCGAGATGAGAGAAAGTCGGGTGATGTCCAGATGGACAGAAGAAGGGATAGAAGGGAGCGCAGCTGGACAAAAAGCAACACTGGCTGGACAAGGCAGCTGCAGCGTGAGGCAGAGACAGCTGCGTGGTGGTGAGCTCCTGAGGAGGTGAAGAGATTGGGCGCTAAGTTCATGTTTACCATTCTCTATACTTAATGCAAGCACCACCCCCAACCGCCAGTTTCACAGAAATAATACTTTTAAATGTTATTTCTTGTTATAGTACAATATTTCACCTAACCTCTTGGTCATGGTAAATATTATGTTAGACCGTAGAAATTAAAAAGCTTCCATTAATTAGTATTATAGATATCTTCCGATAAGTTTACCACTGTTGCCCCTATAATAAAATTTACGTTTATACACACAACCACACACACACACACACACACACAAACACAAACACCCAAATATATGTATATATACACACACACCAATGTTCTTTGTTACGTTTCCTTTCCGTCGTCCATTTTCATTTCACAAACACACATTTTTTCCTCTCTCTCCATTTCTCAGATCTTCCTTCTTTATTGTCAATCTCTTACCTCTTCGCTCCGTTTCAGTGTCTCTCAATTCCAGCTCAGCTGTTGATTCAAACGTTGGGAAAAAATATTCGTCCACACTTTTCCTTTTCATTTTGCCATTCCATCGTTCTTCCTGAGACGGTCAGTACACTGTCAATGTTTGCGAAACAAATTAATATTATAATCGATCGTTCGTCTTATATAGCTTTCTTAAATGTATTGCTTTTCCATTTCTGCATCGTACATACTTATTCCATTACTAATATAATACGTGTAACAACATGCAGCGGCACAGACAACCTACGAGATGCTCTAAGCTGTGCCTACTGTTAATTATTATTTTTACAGTTATTACTTCTACTTTATCGTTTTAATTATATTAGATTAAGATGTCAGTATTGTTCCTTATGCATTATTAAAAGTACATCACGATTGTCGGTTAGCGTCCGTTATATATGAAAATAGAAAAATCTGTATTTTATAGTATAAATATAAATGTATGAAATATGTCCCAATGGTCGCAAGTCAGCCGCTGTTATCTAACTGAGGCTCTGTACCAGTTCTCCTCTCTCAACTTATGGCTCTCCGTCAAACGCCGTCGCCCTGCCCACTCCCGTCCGCCATTGGCTAAACGAGGCAGCGCAAATATTTTTGCTTTGACTTTTAACTTATCTATTGCATTTACCTCCCTCGCCTGCATTTTCATAAAAAAACACAGATATCAATTATTAAAATGACATCAATGGTTAAAAAGTATCGTTTGGCTGTGTGTTTAATGTAAAACTATTTACATTAAATAATTAATTGTTTTAACTACGTGACACGATTTTTGCGTTAAAGACTGATGGAAGAGATAATGGATACACTACTTAGTAGAGAGAAAAGGTGAAATATAGTATTATTAGAAAAAACGAATAAACCGATGATTTAATACATAAACAGAATTCTATTATATGATACAGCAGGGCAGGCAGAAGCCATTCACAGAAAATAATAAGAACATTGGTGGTGTAATGGTTTAGAGCATGACCTCGCCAGCCATCATCTATAAGGGGTCTTGCCACTTGGTTCACTCCAGTTGAAATGGATAAAGTTTTTAAGGTTCTTTGGGAAAAGAGCAGCCATTGAATGTAATAAAAGGATATTTCAATGCAATTTGTGTTGGTTAGTGCAGCGCTGACAAAGAGAAGGCATACGATTTCCCATCCTAAACATTTCTTTAAACACCAAACTGCAGTTGTGCTGATGCAGAGGGACACATTTGGCATGGGCATTGATGTGAATGACTGAGTGAATCTCTCTAGTGCTTTCCTGTTACAGAAAATCTCATCAAGCGTATCACTAAAAGTCCTGTCTTACATTCCTCCTCTTACAGCAAGAATAGCCAGTGAAACTCCACTATTGGGGCATCAGTCCTAAGAGCAAAACTGTGGCCTTTTTAGGAGGGTCTTGGTGGGAAAGCATGGCTGTGCTGGAGAACACAGACCCCCCGGGCAGGCTGGTCCCAATCCAACTCGCAGTCCTCTCTTAGGAACATTAGCTGTGGCAGTTCATGTCATGCAGCTCCATCGTTTATGTTGTTTCACTCTTTTGCATTCTTAAAATACGTAACTGTATATAAGGGTATTACACATCTATAAAATCCCCTTGGATTAAGGCAATTATGAACAACAAGGGACATGAGTGGAACAGACCATGTGCCATTTTCTGAGTTTACAGGAATTTTGAATTAAAGGTTGTCTGTCCCTCATTCACCCTTGAATGTGTGGGCAGACATAGCGCAATGACAGTGGTAAGTCATATCCACAGGCATTTTAATTGTACATTTTTAATTTGCACTTTGCAACTGTGTGAGGATAGGGAGCAAATTTGTCAAAGAACAGAGTGAGAGAAAAACTAAAGGACAGAAATGAAAAGGTAGGAAGACCAGAGTAAACAGAGAGGAACAGAAAGTCCCTAAGCAAGCATGCATGCTGCAAAAAAAGAAACATTTCGAGGTGGAGAGCCGTGCAAGCTGTACACCTTAAAATGGAGTATCGCAGAGGCCACCAAAGGCCAAAGAACAATAGCCACATGACAAGCAGCTGTCAGGCAGCTCCATAAAAAGGACAGGTATGATGGGTGGAAGGTGTGAGAGGAGGGTGAAGAAAAAAGCAAGAAATGAGGTCAGATCAAAGGGGACCTCGGCAGAGTGTTTGCTAGTACATTGGGATGGGCAGTGGAAAGGCCAGTTCTACAAAAGTGTGCAAACCATGTTAGCATGATAACCACCTTAAGGTGGGATTTTAGGTATTAGGATTTTAGGGATTTTTAGGAATGTAGGGATTTAGGACTCAAATTTGAGTCGGAAATGGAAAAAAATAGGAAGCAGAATTGGAATTTCAGGAAGTTGCATTTAATGAACAATTGTGTAATTACATGTTTAGTAGGTCTCCTTAGCATATATGTCAGATTATAAGTAGTGATATATGTTTCCATTCCTGAATATAATAAAATATTGAAGGTAATTTTCAAGTAGATTAATAGCTTATGTAAAGTAAATGAAATAAAAATAAGAATTTGGAGAAATTGTGGAATGATGTATAACTGACATACAAGCAGTATAACTGTATAACCGGGATATGTGCAGGAATCCATGTCATGTCTGAAGGGGAAGCAAATCCAGGTGCAGCTGGAAGGAGGATAAAAAGGGGCTTTATTTGGACTTAAACACAAGGAACTAAAAAACCACACGCCATAAGTGACCTACACAGAGAGCAGGGAGCAATAGGGATGGATCAGGGCACACAGATACACAAGGAGCCAGGGGGCGTTGTGCAGACCAAAATGGTGGGTGCACGGGCACCGATTTAAAAGCATACACACAGGGGCATACCTGGGAATCCTTGCCCCCTGCCCCCGCCAAATTTTACATATAATTTTATGCATTCAAGGGCCCCTATCAAGTGCTGGGCCCCCTGAATCTCTCAGGACTTCCATGCCCTCCCCCCACCCCCCGCCCCACACACACACACACACACACACACACACACACAAGGCAGAAAAAAACGTAGATAACCTTATAGAGGAAGCTTGTTCATTGGTCATATTACCCTGACTGCAAGGTTACTGCAAGTTTAATGACGTGTTATTCATTGTCAGTGTAGGCACATTATTGAATAGAATTCATTTATACGTTACATTTCTATTAAGTATTGGGCATACCTAAATTGACTGACACAGCAGGAACTGAAAAGGAAAGAAACATTTTTTTTGAGAAAGCAGGGTCACTCAGTCCCTGGAGCAATTCAAGGGCTAAGGACCTTGAGCAAGGGCCCATCACTTGATTGATGCTGGGATTTAAACCATCAATCTTTTGATCACAGATACAGCACCCTAACCCTAACCCTAACCCCAAGTCATATCCCTAATCACTGCTGCTCACCTCAAAATAATAAGTTATTAAAAAAAATTTAAATCACCTGTGCTAGTGTTGAAATTGTGAGAGTGGTGCTTTAGTTCCACATAGTAAAGTATCATTTTCAACACAGGCAGAGGCAAGTGAACTTTTTGTTAAGGAAAACATTACCCATGAATGTGTGGTTTCTGGGTAATGTGTTTTTAATCAAATTTAAAACATTATAATTATACTGAACAATAATATGCGTAGTGTGAAAAATGCACAGGTTCACATTTTCACAACGAAAAAATGAGAGTAACTTGATATATTATCTTGTATAACTTGTAATATATAAAATTATGATACAGTTTTTCATCTTTTTATTAAAAACATAATATTATATATGTAATATTTAGTATATTAAGGCAACCTCTTAGAAGTGGAATTTCATGAAATTTAGTGTAGTCAAATTCTGTTTTCTGTAATTCCAGTTCAATTTCAGTTCCCTTGACCAGGGAGAAATTCCAGTTTCAGTTCCAACTTAAGCAAATGAATTGGAATTTACCATGCATTATTAAATCAGTTCACCCCCCAACTGTGGCTGAAAAGGTGCATAGACTTGTGCACCATAGGAATCAATTAAGAGGCCCGTACAACATGCCAATCAAATTGAAGGCAATGATGGAAATTAATCATACGGAGCAAATAGGCTAAGGGGATGATTTGTTTGTAATATCCTCAATAAATATTGTGAACAAATTTCTTTATATTTTCGGAACATCTGGCTTGCTTTACGCAGACACATACACAGGTGAGAGCAAGCTTGGGAGTCAGTGTATGGCCTTACAGCCCACAGATATGGGCCTACAGACATTTGGCTATTCTGCTGAGGCCAAGGCTTAAAAAGACAACTCATAACCCACAGTGCCACATGCCAGCCCAAACATAAGAAGCGTAATTAAGTTTCAACATAACAGGAGTTAAAAGGGTGAGATGCATGCTGTCACGCCCACACAGGCGGGGCCGAACACCGGCAGGTGACTTGCAACTGATCACAGCATTATTTAAGATTGGGTGTCCTGAAAGTTAATCGCGAAGTATTGTTGCCATTTTCTGAATGAGCCTTACTGAGCAATCTCCTTGTCTCTTGTTCTACCTGTTCGTCCTGCCCGCTGTGTCCTGCCCTCCTGCCTCCTACGACCCGCCCCATTCCCTGGCCGCTCCGGATCCTTCCTGCCTCTCGTCTCTTCGTCACGTCCTTCGGTGTACTGTAGGACTGATCTGCCTGGATTTCGACCTTTGCCTGTGACCCGACTGCCCGATTGGATTGCCCCTTTGGATTTGTTTGCGCCTGGCTTATTTAATAAAACCTCTTGCTTCCGCATATTGGGGTCTGCCTGCTCCATTCTCGCCAAGTGTCACACATGCACTACAAATTAATCAATAAATCAAGCCATAAAATGTAAATTCGTGGTACTTTTTGCTTAATTTAGCCTACTCAAATTATATGGGGGCAAAATCAACTTATACAGACATGGACAAATTTGTTGGTACCCTTCCACAAAAAACAAAAAAACTCTCTGAAATAACTTGAAACTGACAGAAGTTTAATGGCATCCCTTATTGTTTGTTCCATTTTAACACAAATCAGACTTTGCTTTTGATTATTGATTCAGGTGAATATTTTATATAATTAAACAAATGAAAATGGCACTGACAAAAAAGATGGTACCCTTGATTTAATATTTTGTGGCACCACCTTTTGCAGCAATCACTGCCAACAAGCAATCTCTGTACTTCACAGTGAGACGTCTGCATTTGCCAACAGGTGATTTGACCCACTCTTCATGACCAAACTGCTCAAGCTCACAGTAGGTATGGTGTTCTTTTCTTTTATTCCTTCTGTAAACTGGAGCCAAATAGCTCCAGTTTTGTCTCATCAGTCCAAAAGACATTCTCCCAGACACATTGGGGCTTGGCAACATGCATTTTGGTGAATTCCACTCTGGCATTTTTATGTTTTTCTGTCAATTGTGGAGCCCTCCTGGGTCTTCTTTCATGAAGCCCATTATTTCTCAAAATGCAACGGATGGTGCAATCAGAAAGTGACATACCTTGACCTTGGAGCTCAGCTTGAATGCATTTGGATGGTTTCCTGGGCTCT